CAACAAAAAGTGTCCAGCAGATGGCAGACAAGATTCTTCTTAAAGGGCTGTAGTTTTGAAATGGACTTTATGTTTTGAGGAATGTCATTCCATGMTTTAGTATAAACATAGAAGAAAGACCTCTGGCCGTAACAGTTTTTAAAAGTTAATATCAGTTGTCCTTTTGTAACAGATCTAGTTGAATGACCACTTCCAGAATTTGATTTGGGCAACAATGCACAGAGAGTTCCATAATTGGCACCTTGGAAATGGTAAATGTCCTGAACTTATAAAGTGCTTTTAAGTTCCTCCAGATCCCAAAGCGCTTTACACTACAGACATTCACCCATTCACACACTGATGATGATAAGCTACATTGTAGCCACAGATGCCCTGGGGCACATTGACAGAAGCGAGGTTGCCATGCAGCGGCACCGCCAGATCCTCTGACCACCATCAGTAGGCAAGGCAGGTGAAATGTCTTGCCCAAAGCCATGACAACTGACATGGCTGGACTGGGCATCGACCAGGACGGCTCTCCTAACCACTCCACCACAGCCATTCAAATGCTGCTAATATGCACCATAATATGCACCAAACACACTTTTAGGCTTGAAGTTTCATCTTTTGTCTTCCAATTATTCACTTTCCTTAACCCAAAAACATCCAAACACTGCACAATATGCTGTCTTGGTACAAAGAAGGATTAGCGCCACTAAAAATAAATAAATAAATAAATAAATAAATAAATAAATAAATAAATAAATAAATAAATAAATAAATAAATAAATAAAAAAGCATTCTGACTTTAAACTCACATCTCTGAGAAAAAAGTCAAAATTCTGAGAAAAAAGTTAAAAATCCTACTTTAATCTCTGATTTCTGAGGGGAAAAAATAAGCCTTGGTTTCGTACCACTTTGAAGGCGCAGTGTATTTCAGTCTATGGAATAGGATTGTGGAATAAAAATACCAGATCAATGTGAAATGATAAGTCAGTTTTTTGAAGAAACATGAAATAGAATATAAATATAAAATATGAAATTTGAATTCGTACGAAATGAGGTTTGAGTTCATGATGCTTTTGTTAAATTTTTTGTGTCTTTGTTTGTTTGAATATATTCTTGGGAAATAAGGGGCAGATATTATAAGATTTGTTCATCTTTCTGCTGTCTTTCATTTTATTTGATTTGCGTATTTTTCTTCTATTGTACAGTATATCGTTGCTTTGTTTTTCATGAGATGAAGATATTTCTAAAAATAATATAATTCTGAATTCAGACTTTAATGTCAGAATTCTAAGAAAAAAATGTCAGAACTCTTATTTATTTATTTATTTATTTATTTATTTATTTATTTATTTATTTATTTATTTATTTATTTATTTATTTATTGCTCTGTGTCTCCAATCCTCTTCTGTAGTCTTTGTCAGCACACTGGTCTGAAGTGGACAGAAAAGTAGTGAAAAAAGCAACCAAATCTGAAGAAAAACTTCAAAATATTACACGAAAGAAATTGGAAGTAAAATATATAGCAATTTTAGATGGTTTAAAGCTTTTCCACAGTACATCCAATCTCAACATCCAAATGATAATTTTGTAAATGCCTAACACTTTCTGGTTACAAACAACTGTGTGTTATCAGAAAAACTGGCAGCCTTTTATACAGTACATTGTTGGTAGAAGTGACCCAAATTTAACTGGGTAAAACCCAGATGCTAATCAGTCTAATGAAGCACCTGTGGCAAATAACATATAGCTGTTTGTTTTACAAAACATTAATCAAAATGGTAAGACTAAACGCTTTAACAAAAACCTGCTGTAGGTTTTCCAACTAATGCATGCTGAATCTTCAGACAACGTAAAAAAGTTGCTGACTGCATCTTCATCTTGCCTTGAAAATTTTCAGGTTTATATTTGATGGAGTCAAATGACTTCTGTGGAAAGAAACTTCACCCCACAAATCCCCTATCCCATAGGATTCCTGTCAGATGCCCCCAGATGTTCTTTGTCTATAGGTTACCTCCAGTCATGAGGTGTTTTGGTTGTCAAAAGAGGCAATGACTCAATATTAAGTCTTAATAGCTTATTGATACACAAATGACCAGAATATTTCTCAAGACTTTCAGAAAGTAATTTGCATTTTATATATTTTTTATCTGTCTGTAATTAAATTCCTATACGTGTCTTTTCTGTCTGAAACAGGTGTCTCCTGTGAAAGAGAGCCCATGTCTCACCAGGACTACAAAGGTTAAAATAAAATAAATACTAACATTTTCTGCCTTCAGGTGAGTTTATTAATTACCAACATGTTAAGTTGAGTTCAGGGCGGTTAATTGCAGCAGATATGTTGAAATGGAGTGCAGATGTTGGTGATCTCCCCCTCCTGTCAGCGCTGTCATGCCGATCAATAGAGCCTGGGACAGCTGGAGCTGAGGCCGGTGACCTCCTGCGTTCTCTCACATTAACCCTTCCCCCACCTCTCCTCTCCTGTCCTTCAGCTGTGAGATTACCAGTCCCACCA